AACAAATAAACTTAAAGTGCCTTCGCTTCTTTTCTCTATAGCTTCTCTATTGCCCAATTGAGAACATCCAGCGTGTTGCCGCTGGAGTTCTTTGTGAACTGGCACAGGACAAGGAAGGTGCAGAGGCCATTGAGGCCGAGAATGCAACAACCCCCTTAACAGATCTGTTGCACTCAAGAAATGAAGGCATTGCAGCTTATGCTGCTGCAGTTTTGTTCCGAATGTCTGAGGACAAGTCACAAGATTACAAGAAGAGACTGTCAGTCGAGCTGACAAGTTCTCTGTTCCGAGACGATGCACCTTGGCCAGAGGTGAGAGTCACTACATTGCATTGTGTTAAATGTCTTACATGTAGTTCTGTTGTGTTGATTTGCTCTTTGTGGACAAAGAGTGTGTATGCTCAAAATATCTTGGATGTTATACAGAAGTTGAGCTAGTTCCCACAATATATATATAATACACGTCACTCCAAACAATTAAATGCATGTACACCTAGGCAAATTGTGATATATTAAAATTGTGACTTAGCTCCAAGGCTTATGGTAATGAAATGAAAGAAATCAATAATTCATCCCTCAACCCTGATGTGATTTCTTTGGTTTTATTCCCCTAAGCCTTGTAGGCAAGTTAGATTTCTAATATATATATATATATCGAAATTGGTGTATTGATAGTTCATCAGTGTAATAAAATGATACTTTCCCTCAGGTGACAATTTTCTTTATTCTCATCACCATCATTCAGACAGAGTAGTGATATTGTAAGGAGAAATAAGATGCTGATTGTGCTTTTGTTTCTTGTAGCCAATGGATGGTGACTTCCCAGACCCGAACTACAGTATGCCGCCTGGAGGATACGGTTATCCACACGAGGGATTTGATTACAATCAGCCTATGGATTACTCTCACGAGGCTGCTTATGACTTCCACCATGGGGACCCTTCTATGCAACCTCTCGCCCATCCCCCTCCCCGCGGGGGCACCTGGTATGACACTGATTTGTGAGAAGAGACAGAATCCTAGTCCCAGGACTTAGAATATCGTAAACCTTGGAATAGGTTTTGGAACTTTTATTTTCTGCCACCTCTAGTTATCTTGGCTTGCCTTCAAACAACACTCTGATACTAGCCTTTAGGGCAAGGATTAGTTCATGTAGGGCAAACAAATCCTCATAGATCTGTCAGAAGTTGCCAAGAGGCAACCCTAATTGTACTGCAAGTTAGGTGTCTTCCTTGTCGATGTAAGTCCTGGCAGCTTGCCAGGTTCAGCCATTTTAAACGGGTGTTCTACATGTACATGCAAGAACTGTCGCAGGACTTAAGACCAGTGAATGAAACTTTGTAAAAATGAGTAAGTCTTTTCCCTTGAAGTTTTCTTTTCTCAGTTTTCGTTTGATTGTGAGAAGCTTGAGAAGTAAAAACATTGCCACCGCCAAAGTCAATGTTTTTCTTTGCACACGAGGTAATTTGCGGGATGTATTATTATTTTTAAGCGCCATGTGTAATGTAAACCTTGTTGCCATGTGAGTTTTTCTTATATCACGTATTTTTAGACCTTGACATTTTGAACAAAGAACAAAAAAAACTACTGAAGACATTGTTTTACTTTATTTACACAACTGCCCTTTTGAGTACTTGAATTTGTCAATTTACTGGAAAACCATTGCATATTGAGTTGTGTATCCCACAGGTTGTATGCCTTGGTTTTACACAGCCTTGATGTTCTACTTGTTTTATTTATATGGACTTTAGGGAAGAATCTTTCTACCTTTTTTTTCTGTTACACTGTGAATATCTCCTTTAGTCAGTTTGACCTCATTTTTCCTTTGTATAGAAGCATTCCATCTCTAGCTAGTACATCATGTATGTTACACAAACTGTAGTTGTTTTTCCTATCATTACTATCCCTGTAAATGCCTTCTCCTTTCTGTAAATTACTTGTTGAGAAAGTAGTTTCTTGGATCAGCAGTAATTCGATTTCCTCTTTACTGAATGTATCATAGTAGGGTCCTTTTTTTCTTTCGCTTTGAATTATTGTATTTATAGATTGCCATGTTGCTGAGAGCTTAGCAGTGAAATAATTTTAGGTATTTTTAGCCATGCTCGGTGTTGCCACTCAGCAGTGTATTGAAATTATTGATATGCTGTGAATTGAACTGTGATTGAACAGCTATGTGCTATTAAATTTTTTTAATCATGTAGAAAAATAATGGTGTTTGTGTGTTTCGATGTTTTAATGGGTTATGGACGACCTGAAATGTAAGACTTTTGTCCTCACCTTAGGGTACGTTCCATTCAATGGAAAATCCTGGGTTTGAATTTCTTTCCAGTGCTGAATCAAACAGCATTTTCTGGTTCCTCCAGAAAAGACGACAACCTTGGGAGGTATACTGAAATTCTTAATGGGAAACTCTCTTCCATTTGACTTCCTACCAGAATTTCTGGAACTTTCAGTTGATTAGCTTGCCTTTTGGAAATTCAACAATTTCCAGTCTGTACCATTTCTCTCCATATGCAAAGCAACACCTCCACATTCTATCCCCATTTTTGCATGTTCTTGGTCTTCACTCTTGATATATTATCTAATTGTCCGCTCTCGCTCGTTGCCCCATTGCATAAATTATAAATTCATGTGTCTGTCCACTTAGTGACAATGAAAATTAGACAATAAGCATTCAAGAATTTCTGCAGTTATCGTAAAATACAGTTTAAGGAGATTTCTCATTGTCAATAGCATTTTCACTTTTATTGTCAACATTGTGTTGTCAACTCAATCTAGTAATAAAATATTACATATTTAAAATATAATTGTTTACCACTATATATTTTTATTTCTTTGGGAAAAGCCGTATAAATATTATCATCCACATAAATACGATGCAAACTGTTATCAACATTATCCAGATCCACAAAGAACATGGCCTCTGTGTTAACTCCTCAAGTCTTTCTGATTCTCGTTTAAGTTTTTCAAAATTGGAATCTGCAAGCTTTGTTGAATGTTCCAGTGTCTAAAGAAAAGAAAAGAAAATTATTATGTTATTCAAAAACCTTTGAAATCCTTCACACCTGGCTTGCTTGAGTATTAATTTATTTTTCTCTGTTTTAATAAGGTGCACTTGAAGAGAATGGCTCAAACTAACAATATTAATAACTTAACAAAAAATATATAATTATATAAAACAAAAACATTAAACAATGGAAATCACGACCGTCACAGTGTTTGAATATATCTGATCTTAATTAGCATACTATTAGATTTTTACCATTTTATTTCTTGGTATTTTTCTATTTTCCTATTTTTCTGGCCCCACTCTCTATGTGGAGAAGTAGAACTGATGATAATTTTGCTTAGTTTTAGTTCCAATTGAGAAGATAATATCAAACACTCAAGACCGCATTCAGGGGAGGTGCAGGTGGTGCACATCCCCACCCCTGAGGTGACATAGATATATCCACTTTTCAAATTTCTTTACCTCATCAGTCAGTTACACCATTCCTTAGTGGTGCACCCCCTCCTAAGAAAAATCCTGGATCCGCCCCTGACATTAATTTGACCACATTTCCAAACACCTTGAAGTTCATTAATAATACACCGCTTCATGTCATATTTTTCAACTTTCTTCCCAGGGTTTAGAAATGTGGTCAAACACAGTCTTTTATGTATGGTATATTACTGCAAAAGCAAGTGCAAGAGGCTGATGATAAACAAAGACCTCCTTGTACTCAGTGTTAGCTTTTACTTTTAGTTCTCTCAGTTCCACTCTTCCCACCCATTGCAGACCTATGCAAGGTCTCATTGAACAAAACACATCTCACCTTGTTATCTTCTTTAATAATATTACTGGCCACAACTGATGAGTGTTTCAAGTTCTGTGCCATTTTGATCATTTCTTCGGCAATGTTTTCCTGCATGTTTTGGTGATATTGCAGCACAGTGTCTATACTTTCATCTTTTGTGTCTCCCTTCTTGTCTCCTGACAATCTGTTATTGAGACATGAGAGTATGAATAAAGTAAAGTCAGACCAGCAGCAAGTTTTCAGATCAAAATTCTCTTTGTATGAAATGAAAAAAGAAGGTGAACATTACCTGTTCCGCAGGCCTTGAGAATCTTTTGTGTTGTCTAAAATAAAGAGAGGAAAATTCCCAAGTTACAAAATAATTGATTATCGAATAGAACAATAAAAAAATATCATAAATTTAGTTGTTCACTTTGCGGGGATTAAAAGAAGAAGATTACTAGGTCTGGGGTTAATATTCCAGATATTAACTGGGCATTCAGCAAAGCCTAAGAAAAAGAACCAAAATGAAATTCTTTCCTGTCCAGTCTGACATGAATCTCACGTGTTGGTTCTCGCCTTGCTCCAAGGGTTTTTTATTTATTTCACTTCACCTACCTAAAATACTTATATTAAAATATTTCTGGGTTCTCTGGGTTTCCACCCTCCACAAAACCCAACACTCCAAATTTATTCCAATTCAACCAGGATAGAGGACCCATGTGCAAACCAGCTATTAAAGGCTGATGTAGCTTCCTCCCTGAATATAATGTTAAGAAGTTTTTTTTTTAAGTCAATACAATCATATGGTTTACATAATCATTTGTGTTATGTTCATCTCAAGAGTTTCGGAAATAAAATTAATAATCTCAAGTTGCATTCCCTCTATTTGTGTCAAACATTTTTTATTAATGAGTAAAATTAATGTTTTATTTTATGTACTTTCAAGATAATAAGGCCTAGTCCATAGAAGACATTTAATGTAGAAAGGTAAGGGTAATATTCTCACCATTTCCCAGCAGTTCATTTGTCATTTCTTTGTGTATCTGTGATTTTGCCCTAATATGTAATTCTTGTCCTTTACTTGCTTGCCGCCCTTTGTCTGCTGTTTGCACAGCTTGGCTAGGCTGCTGACTCAATGGACGTACCAGTTGTTGACTGGCAAGCAGCTTGTCTGTTGGAGTTTTCTATCAAAAAGGCAGGATTAGTAAATGACTTAAGTCTTCTGGGTTCTAAACGAAAAGTTGCTTACAGCTTAGCATGGACAGGGCTCTGCTCTGTAAGCACCCAGGGGCCTTTGGGCAAAAGGGAAAACTTACTTTTTCCATTAGCTTAAGTGCCAGGCACCCAGGATTTCATGATTAGGAACCTTTGGGCTCCTCATAATTTTTATAAGACCACAGCCTTGATGGGTGAACAGATACATGTATTTCTGGTGTCATGCAGCTCTATAGAGAGCTATCAAATTTATAAAGCCTCTCT